TCAAGGGGCTGGAGAACAGACCTTGTGAGGACCGTGTGAAGGAGTTAGGTCTGTTTAGTTTGAGGAAGAGGAGGCTGAGGGGAGACCTCATCACTCTCTACAACTACCTGAAAGGACATTGTGGAGAGGTTGGTGCTGGTCTCTTTTCTCAGGTAATTAGTGACAGAACTAGAGGGAATGGCTTCAAGCTTAAACAAGGTAGGTTTAGACTGGACACTAGGAAGAAGTTCTTCACGGAAAGAGTTGTGGGATATTGGAACAGGCTGCCCAGGAGGGTGGTTGAGTCGCCATCCCTGGATGTGTTTAAGCATCGCTTGGATGTGGTGTTGCGTGGTATGGTTTAGGGGTGAACTTGTCCAACCATTAACCCTACTTACAGGATGATCCCAAGGGTCTTTTCCAAGCTGGATGATTCTGTGATTCTGTGAGTTAATAGGAATTCCTCATTCTGCATTACACACAGCGTCAGCTGCGGAAAGTGGCTTTTAGTTCACAACCAGATGCATCCACGCTTCTGAAAATGTGCTAAATTTAAATTGGGCAATTTTATTTTTATTTTTTTTCTAACTGACTGCAGTATCCTGTAAGACTGGATGGGGAGAAGCTGATTAAAAGGCACTTCTTTTCAGCAGCTTCGTGTTTTCCTGTTCACATTGGGAGAATAATCGTGCCCCGCACGTGGCAGCAGCAAATCTCTGGCGTCGGACTGGCCGGGGCAGGCTTAGCAAAGCCGCTGTGCTTCATTCTTGCTGGTCCTTGCCTTGAAGCATCAGCACTTCTGTTAATCTGCAGTCACATTTTCTGCAGGCGGGGAAGAGGGATGTGTTATTTTGCGTGAAATTTCTCAGCTCTCAAGGACAATTTAAGCATGGGAAAAAAATTTCCCCCAAGCTAATTACTGGCACACTTAGTATGTTCGTCTAAAATGTGTGCGGATGGATCTGAGTTTTTACTAGCAACTGTGTCAGTAGCAAGATTTTTTTTTTTTAAGAGGTTTATATTTTTATATTGTTTTTAATTATTGTGTACAGAGGAGACTCGGTTTTATTAAGCCTCTGCTCACACAGCTGTAAAGAGGAAGGATTGGTATACAAGGAGTGATGTTCAGATTTTGGGCTCTAATGAAGCATCAGTAAACCTGCAATACCTTTAAAGTTTTTTTTTAAGTAGTTTTTCTGTGAATTTATTTCACGCCAAAACTATTTATAATACTACACGTAATTTTTACCTTACCCTTCTTGTGTTTCTACCTTCTCTCAATTCCTTTTCACTTTCTCTGGTAATGAAAGAAGCCTTTGAACTGACACACATTATTTTTTCTGATTTTTTTTTTCTTTTCTCCTCTCTTCCTAGTATAAGTTCAGAGACCTGACCATAGAAGAGCTAAAGAATGTTAACAAGACCTACCCAAACTTCACATTCTCCATGAACACATACAGTAAGAAGTGCTACAGTTAATTTGAAGTAATTCTGGGGGTTCTTACTTGCCATAAACTCAGACTGTGTATAATAAAATCTAAATAGTGTGACTATCTTTCAGGTGTGTTACTATCATTATTTTGACTTGTAGTAAAATTTTCTTATGCCATGTGACTATTTTTGAAAATTCTTCCAAGAATGCACACATATAAAAGCCCAAGAGTATTATTCACTGAATTGTATTTTACTTCGTTAGTAATTATAGAAGATTGATATTTTAAATTCTTTATATGTAACAGCATTTTTCACATCTCATGTGAATGTACTGAAAACATTTTAGTAGTTTTAGCTCATCAAGTGTGACTTTCAGAATTCCTCAGCCGTGCTGAAAGTTCCTACAGCACCAGAACGACCCAGGTCAAGGGATTTTCAGAGTAATGACCTGCTTAGTTGTACCAATGCAATTTTCATTAAGATTCCATTAAGGAATTACCTCAAAGAGGGAGGAGAGGACCCGTGTAACATTCTAGCCTTGGTTTTTTCACCAGCAGTTTATTTGATTTTTAAAGAGAAATCAGTTTTGCGTATTGCTAGTTGTGGATGGAATTGCTGTGCCAGTTTTGAAAGGTTTTATTATTATTATTACTATTTTTTAAAACTATTTTTAATTTCAGCCTTCAAGGATGGATCCCAGAAGGACCTCCTAAATTTTAGCGGTACTGTTCCAGTGAAATACGGTAAGATAAATATAATTTCCTTATCAGTTATGAATCTAATTGTAAAATGTATTCGGTACTGCCTCTTAAAAGTGTACTGTGCGGCTTCTTTAAAGGTGGCTATGAAGGATTTTGACTGCATTGTCAGAAGCCACGTAATTAAGTGCATAAACCAGTGCCTTCATGCACACAGAGGTGCTGAAATCAGGTGGTAACTATTAAAACAATCATGGGGCTTGAGACTGTGCAGGCAAACTCTTTGATTCTAATGAAGGTTGCATGAACTCTACAAGCCCCGTGCCTGTGTAGGCATTGTCTGAATATAACTAGTAGGTAACTTTTTATTTTTAAAGTCTGAGGTAAAGCTCTTAGTAGGTGCCTCTTTGCATCCCAAAATAAGGATGAAATGGGTAGCTGTAAGAGATTTCTTTGCCTGGAAAAGGAGACACGTTAGCTGATGGAAACAAAACAACAGCAACACTTTGTATTAAGGAAGACAGCTCAGTAACACTTCACCGTTTGATCCAGATGAATTTGTTTTTATTAACTAGCCTAAGTAACATAAATACTTCCCAGTGTGAATCTGGAAAGTGATCTGTCAGGCTTTTTTTCTTTGTTATGATGAAGTGTGAATCAGATGCACGCACGCCTGGTTTTTAGTGCCTCTTCTCGATGCAGAAGCTGGCAATGTCTTATATTTTGTGTTAAACAGGTAATTCCTACAACATACCTATTCATCTGTGGATTCTGGATTCTCATCCCTTTGCCCCCCCCATTTGCTTCTTGAAGCCAACGGCAAGCATGGGCATTTCGGTGGGAAAGCACGTTGATGCTCGTGGCAGGATTTATTTGCCGTACCTGCAGAACTGGAGCCATGTAAGAAGAGGAGTGGCTGACAGGGGAGGGAGGTATTTGGGAATAATGAAGGGTGTCATATGGAGATAAGGGAGAGGAATGAGTAGGATTTGGAGCACTTTTTTTTCTTAATTTTTCTGTTAAATATGTAATGATTGTGCAAATGGAAGCAGAATGTTTCTTGAAATTACAGCTTTTGGTCTATGCACTATATTAAATCGGTTACTTAAATATGAGTGCCAGGCCGTAACAATGATTTAATGAATGCTAGTTTTCTGAAATGGATGGGATATGTTTTACATTTTTGATATACAAATTCCTGTGGGAACTTCTACTGACTTCACTGTGTGTTTTGCTCAAAGGAGGACTGAATCGCTGAAACTCTGCACAATTAAGCTCATGAGAAGATTGAACTGTCTTTTCTTTGGCCATGATTTTGTCCTGTTTATAATACTGAATGTGGCCTTATCAAAGGCTTCTGTATGTTCATGGATGCCTTTGAAAACTAGTTGCACTGATAATTTCAATTTTATAATTCTTTTTTTTTTGATTCCTTTTAACCCATACTCATGTTTGGAAAGTCTCTTCTCAAAAAGTGATACTTTTCTTTCCCTGAAGTGTTTATGTAACTGTTAAGGATGTCAATATTTATAATACAATTAAATTTTGTATAGCTATGGTTCTTTATGAACTGCTGCAGTTCACAGCTGATTCCACTGTATGAAATAGCTAGTAACTGTTTTGTCTTCTGTTTTTTGCTATGTTTCAGCCTAAATCAACTATCATTGGATTAATCAAGGAAATGGTTGCAAAATTTGAGGAAGAGCTTCCCTTGTATTCACTGTCATCTTCTGATGCAGCCAGGCAATCGGAACTTCTCTCCTACATTGCAAAGATTACTCAAGGTGTGGATGTTTTCATTTATTTGTCTGTAATGTTCTTATAAAACATGTTTTATTTATTGTCGTTGCTTCACATCACAAAGATGCCTACACAATTTTAGTATCTTTGCATATCCACAGTGTTTGGTATTTTCTCGGTGTAATCAAAAATGCCTCTTTTTGAACAGAGAGCTCAGATTCTCTTTATTTAAGCAGCATATTTGGGGCGTAGACCAGGTACTACTCACTTGTTGGAAGTTACAGCAGCTAGACGCAGTGTGAGATCTTGTGGAAGGGAGACGTGATTTTATTATAAACCAGTTGATTTTACCCAGTTGCAACCATTCATTCTCTTGGATCTCATTCACTCACGCTCTCACATCTGCAGTCGCAAGCCCTGAGACCCATCTGACCCCAGTCACTGATGTGCAACACCGAGGACAAGGAGCAAATCCGTAGTGTATCTCCTGGGTTCCTCTTGCTCAGTGGGGACAAGCTGATTTTGGCCAGTCTTTCCTTCTTCCTTTTAGTGAAATCACAGATGGTGTTGGTGATCTGTGACAACTAGTGCAAACTTTTTCGTTTAACCCTTTTCTGCGGTTTCTTCTGGTAGTTGTGTTCAGTTACATGCTTGTGAGCACATGTGTGTGTACACAATACACATTTCTAGGAATCAGTTGTAACTGATTCATCTTGATCTCTCTGCCTTGTACTCAGAATGAGAGTCATTGAGTTACCAGTATCATTGGCTAATCAGCCTCAAATCGTATTTTAATCAAATTCCATTTTGCATGTCTTTTCAAAATACAAAATCTTCTACAAATTTTATGACCATGGTATATAATCACACCTTTAACAGTAGCAAAGGGAGTATTGTTTGTGTGTTCTTAGTGTCTGGCTTCTTGCTGTTGTTATGCTGCTTTTTGCTATTGTTATGCTTGTACTTGCTACTCAGTGAAAAAACATTCCTATCCAGAGAGGAGTATTGCAAGCTGTGACAGATTTTCTGTGGTCAGGCTTCACTGCTATTTTGAAGTTTATGTAATTTGGTTTCACTCTGGCACAACTATGATCTTTTATGAAGCAGCAATGCTTGTTTTGATACAGTGTGGACCAGCATTTAAGTTTAATGTTTTCTTTTAATTGTAGGAGAGACTGACATGGAATCAAAGGCTAAAATTGGTGGAGGCAAAAATGAAGGATGTTTAAACAAAATTACTGTCGTTGGAGCTGGAGATCTGGGCATTGCGTGTGTGCTAGCAGTTGCAGCAAAGGTACATAACTATTATAAATAGCAACAAGACTTGGTTTCTAGAAAGACTTCCAGTCTAGTTCATGGCATCTGACATGTCAAAATAACTCCACGATTTTAACAGCCATGTCACTACTTATGTCATTTGCCTCTTTATTTAACTTAACAGACACAGAAGTGTTACTTTCTGCCATATTTTATCAGTCAGTTTTTTAAATACAAAGGGTTGAATATTGAATTCACTTATTTTGAAAATCTTTAGTTAGGGATTCTTCCTGTCATGGTAGGGATCTCCTATTTCCCTGGAAGAGGATAGCCTGTAGGTGGTTTGTACTTCATTGTCACTCTATGCTCGGAAACAACAGTAAGAGCAACTTTTGTAACATCCCAGAGATGGTTTTTCGAGTACGTTGTTTGTTTCATAGTGTGTAATTTTCCAGTTAAACTCACTAAGCTAAATTCTTTTTCTTGAGATTTGTCAGTAATTTTGTTCAGTAATTTAGTTTGTTTTCTACACAATACAACAAACAGTGGAATTGGAGGAGTACTGTTTTTGATTCCTCATCACTGCGAGAATGAGTTCTGGTTTGGTTTATTGTTGATCTGCATTATTTTTGTTCACACAGGGTACTGCAGACAAGGTGGTTCTTTTGGACCTTTCTGAAGGTGCGGCAAAAGGAGGGACCATGGACTTGGAGATCTTTGCTCTGCCAAACGTGGAGATCAGCAAAGGTATTAGATGCTGTTTCTGGAGTGGGAGTGGGTACTGTGCTGTGTATGCTCGTTTTTAATGAGAGCAGGACATCTGGGGAGATACAGAGGCTCTGGCACACAGGCCATCTTTTTAAAAATATGTTATTTTTTCATAGCTTCTCCTTTTTCCCTGTCTTTTCAGGGTAAAATTGGGAAGGGAAGGTTCAGCAAAACTTGAATCATTTCTATTTCTGACTTTTCAAATTCTGTTTGTAGACATAGAGGGATGTGAGTCTGTACTTCCAGGATGACAGGTTAATGCTGAAATTGGACTCATGCAGAAATAGAGAAGCCAAGCTTCATTGTCACAAGTGGAGAGAAGGAGGGAAGGGGTAAAAAAACCGTGTATGTTAAGGAATTGGAGATAGCTGTGAGAGCAATGTTAAAAAGACTGTTAAGTAAAGGTTAAGTTTTGGAGTGCTACTGTTCAAGAAGCTTGTCCACCCTAGATATCCCATAGTAGAGTCTCAGGCTTTAAGTCCCATGAAGTAATTTTTATGAGTGGCACAGCAGTAGAAAAAGCTCATGTTGAGTGCTTCAGCAGGGGGACCCTGAACAAAGAAATCCCTGGGCAGATACAGCCTTATAATCCCCGCCCCTGCCCTCTCATGACACTTCTGACCAGTAGTAATGTGAGGGTCTGGGGGTCTCCCTGTTGTATTTGTTACACCAGGCATCTTATCTGTTTATTCTGCACCGGAGATTGGCTGCTCTACGTCCTTTGATTTTATCTTGCAGGTTTTACTGCTAGCATAGTTTTTTTCCCTGAAGCCTTGGTTGTGCAACTGTACCACAAATCTCTGTTTGTGCATTTGTGGTTCTGTATTTACCTTTAGCTGTGGTTGAAGCAGCTTGTATGTTGTTGCGGGCTATGCTGTTGGTGTTACAATGTTACAAAATGTTACAAAAACCACTGTCACTGGTTGTTTTAGGATGCTTATAGCTAAGTTTGGGGCAAGCTGGTATTAATTATATCTTGCTTAGTCTGCTTCCAATTTATCAGTCCATTAGGCCTCTGCTTTGGCTTCATCTGGTTCCAGAAGCGGTGGGACAGTCAAATTACCTTGTTTGTGTGTCCAAGCTGGTCCACCTGCGTGGTACTCAGCTATTCCAAGTTACTTGCTTAAGGCAGCTTTGACTTATGAATTTCTGCAGCAATTGTAATTGGGTGCTCTCTTGGGCTAATAAATACGTGTCTTTTACTTGAGTTAATAAATAGACTTTTTATGGTTGTCTACATGTCTTTGAGCTGTAAGATCCAAAATTATGGAAGCCACAGGTAAAGGAGTAAAAGCCTTTCCCCTTCTTTCAAAATTGGAATAAAAATAAAGGAGTCTTTTTATGGATAGTTTGATTTTTTTTTTTCTCGCTTGCCAATAAAACTTGGAAACACTTACCTGTTAAACCCATCTAGATGTTTTCTGGTCTCTGCTCTGTAACTTTGGACAAATTGCAGTCTGCCTTCTGTGTTTGCCAGCTCTGAAATGGGTCAGTAGCTCTGTGGAAGAGCTGTGTTTTACAGGTGCTGTGCAAGTGCCCAAAGTTCAGGATGGAGGACATGGCAAGAGACAGGAGACAGAGAATCCTTAAGCTGGATGCTGCAGTTCAGCCTTTAGCGTGGCTCTTTCTTTTGCATCCAAAACTTGATAGAATGACATACACTTAAAAAACATGTTTTATATTTTCAGATTTTTCTGCTTCAGCTGATTCAAAGGTTGTGGTACTTACTGTTAATTCTCTGGGTAATGCTCAGACTTACCTTGATGTCATACAGAGCAACGTGGATTTATTCAGGGGAATCATCCCAGCAATATCACACTACAGTCAGAACTCTGTTCTCCTTGTTGCTTCTCATCCAGGTATGTTGGTGCTTTGCCCAGTGCTCTGTCCCTCAGCTGTTTTCTCTCTTTGGCCTGTTTTTAAAATATGTTACTGCCAGATATACGGCTTAGTCAAAAATTCTTGCTACTCTGAAAGATGTTTTCCTTTTCAGCTTTGAGCAGGACACTGTCTTGAGGGTTTTTTCTTTACTCTTACCAAGATAAAAGAAAATAGTGTACTTTGTTTTGTGTAAAAGGTAAGTATTTCTGACTGTTTCTGTGCATAGTTTCAACCTATGTCTACAAGATTAGTATCTGTGGCTGTTGTCTTGTCAGTTGTGAATTTTACGTGTACGTTTCTCCTGTGCAGTAAGGATAGGTGCATGTGTGTTATGTGCTGTAGGATCAGACTTACAGACTAATATACATCATATAGTTTTGATAGCAAATACTGCAGCTGTGTTTTGGTGAAAAATCTACGTCTGTTGGGTCGGTGATACTGTGAAGAACACAAAGCAAAAACACTACTTAGAAGGGAAAGAAATAAGTGTGAGCTTCTGTGTTTTGTAAACACACTGAAGACAGCCCTTTTCTTTTTTCCCAAGTGCTTCTCACCCTTGCCATCATTTAGAGAAGAGAGTTCTTGCCAAATAAAAAGAAATTAAACGCTGGCTGAATTAAATTTAGAGGCACGTGACATTTTGAGTAGAGGGAAGCATTGTGGTTCATTCTGAAGTTTCCCTTCTCTTAAAGCTTTTACTTGGACTGTGAGTTTTCTTCACCTCTTCCCCACCCAACTTGATGGTTTTTTGGTTGAAATAAACTAGTGATATGTTATTAAATGCTTGTACCTTTTCTCAAGTATACAACTTGATCCTGAGTTTTTCGTAATTGTGATTCATAGCTTGCAGTTGTGCCGGATTTTTAGTTGATCCTTCATTGTCACTGTGCTTTGTTTCACTTACAGTTGAAATAATGACATATGTGTCATGGAAGCTGAGTGCGTTTCCCAAAGGTAGAGTTCTCGGAGTAGGTGCCAACCTAGATGCTGAGAGATTTCAGTACATACTGACAAACCTTTTGAAAGCACAGGTGCTGGCAAAAGATGCTTGGATTATTGGAGAACAAGGAGAAGACAAAGGTAAAGGGATAACTTATTATGACTATGAGCAGTGCTTAAGTAATTGAGTAATGAAAGAATAATTGAGAAAAATAATGAAGGCATTCATAAGGAGGGTGATAGATTTTCCCAATAATGGTTCAAAACAATGGAATTTTTGTCTGTGCTGAAGATGGTAGACTTGGAGTGGTAGCAAAAGTATTCAGTGCTTGTCACAGTAAAAAAAAAAAAAAGTTAAAAAATAGAAAATACAACCTGAAATGCTTTTTATTTGGTATAACTACAGATTTGAGGTACTCAAGAGGAAGGAAATGTAGTATAATATAATGTAGGTTAGTGCTAATGTAAGAATTATTACATATTACTTCACTTTTAAGCAAGTGTCTCTGGGTAGGTGGTACTACAGAGTTTATTTCAGCAGTCCTTGCAAGGAACTTTAGAAGGCCAGTGATTACATTTGGGTGGTTATGGGTAGAGGAAATTATGGAAAGCTTTGATTTTTTTTTTTGATTTTTTTTTTTATTTTATTTTTCTTCTCACCTTATTTAGTACCTATTTTAGCTACTGTTTAGATGTGCATTTAATCATTGGTTGCTTCTATTTAGTACCATCGTGGACCTGTCATAATTTAGTTGCAAATAAAACGGAAGCGGTGGCTGCTCGTAACTCAAGGGAAACAGTGGCTAACAGGTAACACTATTATAATCTTAAACATTTTTCCTTCATGTTTAGGTACTTGATGTTTTCAGAGATCTTTTCTTCAGCTCTTTATGAAGAGGATGAAATTGGCTCTAAAATGTTCACACATTTGGGCTTATAAGAAATTGTGGGTCAGAGTGTCATTCACTTTTATATATGCCCACTAGTTCTCTGCTGTTCTTCCTCATGTTGTCTCTGTGACGATTTAAGGACAAGACAAGCTTTGTAGAATATGCACTAGAATATTAGAGCTGCCAGTTCAGTTACATGTTTAAAAAAAAAAAAAAGTAGTAGACCTTCTGGCACGCTTTTCTCACAGCTTGTGTGGAAGCAGTTTACTTCAAAGGAAAGCACAAATTTGGTTCAAAATTGCCTGATGTAATTAGCCACCAAGCAGTTACACCTCTTGACAGAAAAGAGAATTGTTACTAGAATGGGTAACTCTTAATTCACTTCTGTTGTTATCCAAAGCAAAGAATCACATTTTTGTAATATGCTCTACCTGATATGGTACGCTTAATGTCTTTTGCATTTTACATGTAAACCAAAATAGGAATACTTGAAACTTAAATACCATGTTTTTCTCCTTTTCTGGGTTTCTATAGAGCTATGGAAATTCTAAAGGGAAAAGGTCAGAGATCTTGGTCTGTCGGGCTCTCAGTTGCTGATTTGGCTGACAGTATACTGAAAGATAAAAGAAAGGTTCATTCTGTATCCGTTCTGGCAAAGGTAAATGTATTATTAATGTCTTTTGGTCGGCACTGTAGTTATATTATTTATACTGCATATGACTATTAATTTTAGCAGCACTCTCACTCAAAGTAACTGTAGCGCTACTTTCAAAAACACAGCTTTCAATTCTAGTCAAAAAATGAGGAAAAAAAATAAACTATTGTGTTAATCTGAATCCAGTATTAAAAATTGGAGTATTCTCCCCAAAATGTGAGTCCAGAGGGAAAATACATTTGAGGTTGACCAGCCCCACCAGAATAGCTGGATTTGGCAAATAAAGAGGAATGTGTGTGTTGCAGTTTCCAAACGCTCAGTGTTGAATGTAGATCTTTCCAGCACCCAAGAGAGTTCAGTATCTTTTATAAAAATATAAAATGCATTTTTGGCAAGTATTTTATTTGACCAGCTTTTTGAAATGGCTGCTTTTCTACTCCTTAGGATTTTGCCTTGAGAAGATTATGCTATATTTAACTCTAAATTGTAGACTAAACCTTTTTTAAAGTTTAAGAGGCTTCATTAATGTGTTAAGTCATTTCCTATGAGGGGGAAAAAAAAGTAGAAATATTTACTTGTCACTTCAGCTTACAGGCTTCAGAAGAGAGATTTGTGTGTCGCAGTGCAGGGAAGTCAAGCAGGCTCCTTATTCTATCAAGTGCAGACATATTACCTAATTTAATCATTATGTTTCCCATACAGATCCTAAAAATAAACAAAATCTACAGTGTAAGCTTGAATTATAGGGATATAAGTTAGTGAAGTCTCTCACAGGATGAATATGGGATCAGTACTTGAAAAATATTCCCTGGAAAGCTCTCTTTGGCAGCATTTTTCAATTTCTTATATTCAGTCCTAAAAGAACTAATAATACTGCTTTATCAAACGTCCCTGCTTGTTCTACCTAAGAAACTAGTATTTTGTAGTATAAACCTTGTCTGCGTTATAGCGGCTTGGTATATCTATATTGGAAACTCCTCCAAGTGTGCCATGGTTCAAGATTTTTTTTCATCCATACAGTAGTATTTTACGGTTTCTATACAATGACTCATTGCACAGGATCTAAGATAACATGTTCTGACCTATAAAAACATGCCAAATGATAGAATAATCCTTACTTAATCAAGCTGCTTTGCGAAGCTCCATGCTTCAGACAGAGCAGAAATAAGCAACCATATGACAGTCACTTTTGCGTGTTGTTTCAGGGGTGTTGCAGTATAAACAGCGAGGTATTCTTAAGCCTGCCCTGTGTTCTTGGAACCAGTGGAGTGCTTGAAATGGTCAAACTGGAAGAAGACCCAGCAGTGCAAGAGAAACTGCAAAGCAGTGCAGAATCAATTCATGACCTTCAACAGCAACTAAAACTGTAAACGGGCACAAGGGAAGCCACGGCGTCTGCTCACAAAGGTGGGAGATGTGCCAGGCAGAAAGGGTCGCTTGGTCTGTATGGATTTCTATACAAAATGAGGGGTTTTTTACTTCACTTTGAAAAGTGCTTTCTCTGCTTGGGCTTAAGTTATTTAATACTGTGCTGCACTGTAGCTGCTCACTTGGAAAGTGCACTTTTGGTACCCAGAATGTGGAGGGTAACGCTGGAAGAATGTTTTACCTGAATTTGGGTGACTTTTGCCTGTGGGGTTTTTTGTGGCTAATTATAGCCTGATACTTGGGTTATTCTTAGCTTTTTATTAAGGCGCAGTCTGGGAGAGGGGCTTGCCCAGCTCTGCAGAAACTCCCATGTGTGGAGCCTACAGGGGCTTGTCTAGAGCATGGGCCCACTCCAGCTCTTCAGGGCCTGGGGGGCTGCAGTTTGGCAGCTCAGCGTTTCATGTGTATCACTCTTACATCAGTGGACTCCTGCTTTTACTGCTAAGGGGAAAAAACCTGAGAGCATGACCTGAGGTACTGGATATGAATTTCCACTGTATGTTTAATGATGTCTGAGACTTTCTGGTTGTGACTTGTTTGCTCTTATTTTGTAAGGATGTTCAGAGCACTAGAGCGCCTGCAGTTGTGGGTGCACACACGCCACGCTGGTACCCTATGCAGCACTGGATCAGGTGCTTTTGCTAAAAGGGAGGAGCAGGGGGGTGGGCTTTGAATAAAAAATAAGATCTGACAGTTAAGTCCTGCAGAGATATCTGCAAGTTCAGGCCCTGGTCCGAAACCAGTTGACGTCAGCGTGAGGAGAACGCAGCCACTGGAGAAGGCAACAGAACCTGTAACCCTCCTTGGGGGAGGCCAAGGGTGTGGTGACAAAGCAGGGTGTGGATTTTTGGATAAATCAAAAAGCAGGTGTTTTTAAGATAAAGAGCTCTCTGAGGTTCTAACCTCCTGATTCCCTGCACTGCTAAAAGACTGTTCATCCTGGTGATACCTCAGCATCGCGGTGTGAGCAGAGGAGACGCGGGCTGCACTCCAGCTGCGCGCGGCTGAGGAACATCATTCCACGGTGACGTTTCGAGGTGTGACTGGGTGAACGCTGCTGAAGCTTTCTAAGCCAAAGTGTCGAGTGAAAGCTCTATTCCTTTGTGCCTTCCAGGTACACCTCACAATGTGCCAGACTTACAAGGAATTCTGAGTTTATGTTGATCTCAGAATTCAGATAAAAACACAAAGAAAATAAACCCTTCAGTAATTTGGATTTATTTTTTTTCATGGAATTCTCACATTTCCTTCTTCGTGGTGGTTGGTGCTAGGAAAAAACGAGTGATGGCTGCGTTAAAGAAACCAACCCCCCCAGCGCCATAGCAGGGCTGCAGGGTTTGTTCTTTGGGTTTTTTTCCTATTGCTTTGAAAAAACCAGCATAAAATTACGGGTTTATGTTGTTCTCCAAGGTGTTGTGCTTAATTAGTTGAGCATTTATTCTCAGAGCAGTAGTCGAGGTGTTTTGGTGTGTTGAGTTTTTATTGACAGTTTAACCCTAAGAAGCTGCTCCCTCTCCCAGGGATGTGGATGAGGTTGCAGCATGTGTTGTAAAATAAAGTGCTCTCGACTCGCCCCTCTGTCTTCCTGGAACAACCGGCGGCCTTTCCCTTCCCGAGGCAGTTCCCGCTTTGGGACGCTGAAACTCGC